ATTAATTATACGAACCTACCTCAACCCTGCCTGTCTCCCTTTGGGTCCAAATTTAACTCTCAACTTCATGTACTATTGTATCAAGCATCACTTTGAATGCTGTGGGATTATATCTATATCATCACTCTGCTTATGTACACTTTGCCTACACAACCACAACCCCCCAGGCTTTGGGGGTACAATGCAGCCCATCTTCTGCTGTTCTCCTTTGCAGAGAGGGAGATTTGCTGTTCACCTTTCAGTCCAGAGCAGTCAAACATCACAAGGAAAGAGAGCCCAGCTCTTTTCTTCACCCTGCAGGCACACAGGCAGAAGTGATGAAGCACCTTGAAGCCTTTTCTACTCCTGTTTGCTCAAAAACGTGGCTCAGGTGGCTCCAAAACCACTGCAGTGATCATCCACAGCAATGGTCCTGCCATAAGAGAAGGCTGATCTCATGAGTAGGGTGTTGGACAGGAGCTTTGCCAGCCAAGATTAAAGGTGATCAGACGAAAACAAGGTGGCTGCAGAGCACACAGCGGAACATAGAGGAGGGTAACCTGCTCCTTTAGTTAGGTCAGACCATGGGATAAGAACCTGAGTGCAGACACAGCAGCAACACAGAACCACAGAATGGTGGGGTTGGACAGGACTTCTGGAGACCATCCAGTCCAACCTGCCAGACCAGGGTCACTCAGACCAGACTGGACCAGATTGGATAGGAACATGTCCAAGGGGGTTTGAATGTCTCCAGAGAAGGAGACTCCACCACCTCTCTGGGCAGCCTCTTCCAGGGCTCTGCCACCCTCACAGCAAAGAAGTTCTTCCTCACGTTGAGATGGAATTTCCCATGTCCCAGTTTGTGCCTGTTGCCCCTTGTCCTGTCCCCGGGCACCACTGAGAAGAGTCTGGCCCCATCCTCTTGCCACCTGCCCTTTAGATATTGCTCAGCATCCATGAGATCCCCTCTGTCTGCTCTTCTCCAGCTGAACAGCCCCAGGTCCCTCAGCCTTTCCTCAGCACAGAGATGCTCCAGTCCCTTGATCACCTTTGTAGCCCCTGCTGGACTCTCTCCAGCAGTTCCTTATCATTCTGGAAATGGGGAGCCCAGAACTGGACACAATAAACACCATCGTCTCCAGCAGTGTGAGGGACAGCCCACCCCACCATCAAGCAATCCACACTTCAGGGAAGGTCAGCCAAGTCAGGAAGGTGTCCGTAAGGTGACATCACCTCTGCCAGCTTCTCCTGTCAGTACCTGGCTGGACTCTCACTTCCCTGCAGCAACACAACTCATTGTCCATCAGCTACTCACTCACTCCTTCTGGAGTGGTTCCACGCTTGAGGTGAGAAGCCACATAAATTCCCTGATATTTCCAAGTCACAGAGAGAGTGCAGCAAGAGGAGGAAGCCATTGCATCTCCCCACCGAGCCAACCCTTCCACCTTCTGCTGTTCAGCAGGAACCGGCAGATGAAACAAGTGAGGCCACTGACTGGGTTAACACCACGTTTAGTGTGAGCTGCTTGCCTTCTGCAGAGCAACAAGTGCCCACCTTTATCCACACTTCAGGGAAGGTCAGCCAAGTCAGGAAGGTGTCCGTAAGGTGACATCACCTCTGCCAGCTTCTCCTGTCAGTACCTGGCTGGACTCTCACTTCCCTGCAGCAACACAACTCATTGTCCATCAGCTACTCACTCACTCCTTCTGGAGTGGTTCCACGCTTGAGGTGAGAAGCCACATAAATTCCCTGATATTTCCAAGTCACAGAGAGAGTGCAGCAAGAGGAGGAAGCCATTGCATCTCCCCACCGAGCCAACCCTTCCACCTTCTGCTGTTCAGCAGGAACCGGCAGATGAAACAAGTGAGGCCACTGACTGGGTTAACACCACGTTTAGTGTGAGCTGCTTGCCTTCTGCAGAGCAACAAGTGCCCACCTTTTGGAACATTACACTTGCTCCAAAGAGTCAAGGAAGAAAAAGCAACTGTGTTGAAAAAGCAACTGTGTTGAAAAATCCCTTGCTCTCACATACAAACATCCCATATACAAATCTGTGAGCAAGACCTTTCGTCCAGCTTAGGGTCTGTTTAAGCACACACTCACGTCAAGCAAAGCCACTACAAAAATTTGTGACTTTTAAAAGGGATGAAAATGCCATTTAAGCCCCAAATTTGGGCCAGCACAGATCTGTACCATTTTTTTTTCAGACAGAGGTATCAGCAGTTCAGGTCCCGCTGCGAAGGGCACTGCCAGCCCCGCTGCTCAGGACAGGGCGCTCCGTACTCTGGGGATATGAACCCTACTCTCCTGTCCTCAAAATGACGATAAGGGGACAGCACACCTCTATTTCAAAGCTCAAATAAATGGGAAAAAAAGGGAGACTATTTCAGAGCCTGCCAGTGAATGAGGTGGAGCAACACCCTGACAATTTGTTTCTGCTGCTGAAGCTGAAAAGGAATGAGTGTGTTTTCTCGCCCTCGGCTGCTGCCTCCTCCCTGGCGGGGCCGAGCTGCTGTCAGACACTGCTGGGTGGTTCTGAGAGCTCTGCAAAAATCATCCTCCCTCCACGAGGCTGGAAACGAACAACAAACTGTAGATGATGTTTTTTGGACTCCGAGTATACAGATGGCAATGAAGTTGTGAAAGGCTGCGCTGAGGTTTTTGGTGAGAGCTGTAACCAGGGAAGGGAAGACTTTCCTCATCGCCCCCAAATAAGTACAGCAATTAGCTGAGACGAGGGAGAGATGCGGCATCCTTTCAGAAGGCTTAAACCTGAGATTCCCTGTGTCAAGGTCCGCTCTTGGGATTGGAAAGACAAGAGATCTCCCCCACACCAACCACAGACTGCTCCTGTGCCCATAGCACAGGTACAACGCTAAACCCTTCACAGAAGCAGAAACAGGACCAGGTTGGAGGGGGCTTTGAGCAGCCTGGTCTGGTGGGAGGTGTCCCTGCCCAGGGCAGGGGGGTTGGAACTGGATGATCTTTAAGGTCCCTTCCAACTCTAACCAGTCTGTGATTCTAAACTCAGGCATGAGAGGTTCTGGCCCTTCGCTTGAAGGCACCATGATCTGACAGGGCTCAGCACCATAGTAGACACTCCTGTCTCCTGAACTTCACTCACCCACTGGAATATTTCTGAACAAATGCCAGTTCGATCAAAGCATCACACTTGCAAATTTACTTAAGTAACATTAAATAGCATATACCTTCTAAAAAAACCCAAACCCCTAAAAACCACACTACTGCAACTCACACTCATATTAGTCCACGAGAAGAACCAACCCCCCCCCCAACAGCACGTGGCCATTGGGTGCCCCTCTGCCTTCCTTGCCCCTGTAGGCTCCCTTTGCTGATGCTGGCAGGGACAGGAGTGATGCTGGAGCCCCAGCCACACCACAGCACTGCGTGGTTTTTGGGAATGTCCTGCAGCCCCTCTCTGCCCTCAGTTCCTTCTGCAAAGATGGGAAAGTGCTCAATCCACATCCCTTCCTCGGAGAACATCCTCACTGGGTGAGACCCAACAAGTGCTTTGAAGTACTGGGAGTGCAAAGGCCACATTTTCTGCTGAAGCAAGAGCCCGTCCAATTTGGAAGAGAGTCAGGACTACATCTTGACTGCCCTAGGCCTGCCTCTACAACCACCTCTTCTCACCCATTTCCCTGGCAGCCCAAGACGTGATTTTTCCAGGGAAAAGCCCCTGGGAGAGCCGAGCTCCACGCTGCTGGGAAACCACCACTGCAAGGCTGGATCCTTCCCCCGGCAGAGGGAATGCAGCCCTCTGCCTTGGAGGAGACAGATGTTCGCCCTGGAGAGCGCTCAGAAACATTGATTAACTTACACCTGATTCATTTTACTAATTAAAGTCGCTACACATGACAGAGCAGCCTAAGTAGGACGTACACCGACAGCCTCGTGCTGCCGTGCACACTCATCTCTGCCTCCGCGCACGCTGCAGGAAAGGATCTTGTACTGCCACGGCTGGAGTCAGAGCCAGGAGATGGGAAGGTGGGAATGGTCCCACAGGAGCACTCCTCCTGCTAGGTTTTACCCGAGGAATATAAAACAGTCTGATACACATTGTAAAACTAAGGGTTTTTTTCCCCAAACCACACTCAAAATCTGATTTTGTATTAAGCTATCAACTTCAGCAGCACACTTGGAGAGAAAGAGACCTCTCAATACTGATTATATCTAAACCTTTGGGTTTTGTTTCATAAGGAAATTGCAGCAAACTCCAGGTTTTTTCTTCAAAGCAGCAGTAAATAAAGGTTAAAAAAAAAAAAAAAGGAAGAGAAAGAAAGTCTAGAAGTAACAGAGCTGCAGAAATACAGACGTGAGGTAAATGTGCTGCTCTGCAGGGGAGCTGCTGGGTGAAAATGCTGGTAGTGATTCTTTACAGAACACTTTGTACTGTGCCTTTTTTACGTTCTCTATGCACTAAACTGATTAATCCCAAGATAAAGCACCTCCTGCCCTGCTGTATCTCACAGGCTCCTGTTCGGAGCTCTTCCGGCCCCAGAGGGTAACATTTCCCTGTTTTGCACAGCCTGACAAACACCACATCAATAAGCCAGACATCATCACCCTTTCCCCCTGCAGAATTCAAGGCCAGGATGGGAAGAATAATATCACAAACTACCAGCTTCTCCTAGAATACTTTGTTTAAAATGTTGGTTGGCATAAAAGAAGGAATATCTGTTTATCAGTCTCGGCTTTCATGAGAAATACAAAGGAGACCAGTGGGTTAGGATTCCGTTGGGCAGAAATTGATGCGGGTTGGTACAAAGCTTGTCTTTCAGAGCACTGAAGACTACTCCAAATGCACACATAAAATATTAGAAATCTGGCTAACGAATCCTAACTTTAAAAGCAAGAGATAAAGTTCCTTATGCATCACTGAAACCTCTGGAAGAATTGCATTTACTCGTATAAATTTAAGACTGGGAGGGAGGAGGAAATGGGAAGGAAAAAAGTAAAATACTGATGGAAGAAAAATAAAATAGCTCCATGCAGCTCACCTTGACCTCCACGAAGTCTGGTTTCCCGAGGGCTATCAGCTCAGCGTAGGCTTTGAGCTCATCCACGTTCCAAGCTTTCACCAGTGTCAGCCTATAAACAGTGCGCTGTTGCTGAAATAAAGGAAAAGGTACATTAAAAGCATGTTCTGACACAGGGATGATGTTCCAGCCTTCCATACAGCTTCAAACAGGAAAAAAAAAACCCAAAATTATTAATCTATTCCAAGAACTCGGGGGCTAAAGCAAACCAGACCCAAACCAGGAGCCCCATCACTTGTTTCAAGAAAGCCAATTGCAGCATCCGTGAGTTGAGGCACCTTTTGCCGTACAAAGACTTATCTTCCCTCTCTATATTCCAGGCACTTTGTCTTTACAGGAGCTTTAACTTAATGGGAAAATAATGGGAAGTTTATCTCTGCTTTGCTTCCCCAGGCATAAAATCTCACCATTAGTTGCTATACAGACATTTTATCTCCTCCAGCTGGATGATCTGGCATTGGTGACTCCTGGACAGAAGGAAGGAGAACAGACCGACCCTTGTCTGCCCCGTCTGTGAACTATTCCAGCACATCAGACACGATATCGCGGAGAAGAGGCTCTCCCGCCATCAGTTACACACAACATTTTATTGGAGGCACAAAGTGACAATTAAAATCACAACCAGGAAATGGTGAAAATACCCTGCTTACGATCTAGGCCTATAAAAAGCGTGATGCAAACCATTAGGAGCTAACATGGTGCCTGCAGCACTGACTGTAAGAGCATCCTGCAGCCCTCAGTACCCCCTGCACAAGGGCGGCCGCGTTTCTGCCCGGCTGTATCCCCCACAGACCTGTCCTCTCCATCCCGCGGCTCCTGGCCACACCACTGTCTCTCCAGGATGCCCAGACCTGACCTGTGTCTGTGCAGAGCAGCAGACCGCTCCCAGCACTTCTTTCCATGGAGTTCCTCTGATTTTCCCTCCAAGGGCTGCTCTCCAGAGAAGCTACTGGTGACAAAGGGACCTCTACTATCAATATAAGCACTTGGCCATGGAACCAGAACAGACTGACCCCTTACACCTGCTCATTTCCATCCTTCCCTCTCCTTCCACTAACGTTTTATTTCACTCATCTCTGGAATTTATTTATAGAGTAAACTTCCAGCAAAATTGTTTTTTGAATTAACCCCTTTTCCTCCCTTGGCACGCTGCAGACTGTAAAATGTGACAAAAGCACCAGTTTAGGCAGAGCGAAGGAGCCGTAACAAACCCATAGCACCCCAAGCCAAGGGTGAACGGTTTGAAACTGAAAGAGGGGAGATTGAGATGAGATCTGAGGAAGAACTTCTTTGCTGTGAGGGTGGTGAGAGCCTGGCCCAGGCTGCCCAGAGAAGCTGTGGCTGCCCCATCCCTGGAGGGGTTCAAGGCCAGGTTGGAGGGGGCTTGGAGCAACCTGGTCTGGTGGGAGGTGTCCCTGCCCAGAGCAGGGTGGGAGAAGTAGGTGATCTTTAACATCCTTTCCAACCCAAACCATATGGTTCTAAGAACTAAACCCAAAGCAGAAGTGTCCCAATGCCTCTTGCCCATCGTCTTGGGAACCTGAAGCACCAGGGACATCTGCAAAATTCTCTGTGGGATAAACATGATGGAGGATTTGATACCTGCAAGGAGTCAGCATTTTGAGAAAATAAGTTAGAGATGGAGCTTCGTTTGTTAAAAAAAGTCTGTAGAGAGTAAATTCAAAGAATTAAGAGTATGACTATTGAAGGTTTATTATTACAAGAATTACAATACCTGGCCTGTGCTTTACTCATTGTTTACAAGCACAGACTTAAGAACCAGAGACTGCAGCTTCTACGACTTGAATGTACTGGTCAAAGAAAGGTTCAGGTCAAGAGACAACAGGCAATATGAAATCTACAGTTAATTATAAGAGAAAAACAATGGAGGAATTAATATAAAAATAAACACACCATTTGCTGTGTAACAGGGAAAACAGAAACCAGAGGGAAAATATCTAACAAGAGGAAAAACTCCATTGCGTGCAGGTCTGTCAGTCGTCTGAAGTGATTAGATACCCAATTAATCAAGAAATGTCTCCCCAAAGGTCAGCTCACAGCAGTAAACAAATGCAGGCAACTTCCAGGCAACAGTAAATAAAAAATCATATTTTTAATACCTGCCCCTACCAAAGGCTGCTGATCCAGACCCAGCCCTCAGACTGGGAGGTCGGGTCCCCAGGGCACTCATGGGAGTGGGGAATCCACCAAGAAGTGACGCCTTTAGGGGCATCTCTTTGTTGGTTTTGGCAGGATGGTTTTGTGCTAAAATTAAGAGCAGATTTCTGGGCGTCGCTGTCACACTTAGAAAACGTGGCCTGGCAAAGCACAGGCAGCGAGTGGGACAGGGCAGGCTGACACATCCAGCCCCAGCAGCAGCCCCACTGCTGGCGGAAGGGTGTCCAGCAGAGGAGAAGAGAAAAAAAGGGAAACGAGAAAACCTTTCAACCTTAGTAACGTGGAGACATAAAACTCAGGAAATCCATTTGTGGGTGGTGGGATAAAAGTCTTAGAAAATCCACTTGATCTTCAGACAGTGGATACATGCTGTTTAGGGAGTTTGAACATGATACACAGATAAGAGACTGGACCACGCAGAAACTGGTCTCAAGCTGGAATTAGGGGAAAAGAATAACATCAACAGATGCACAGAAAGTTCCTATAGACTAATTAAAACTATTTATACCTAGCCCAAGTGTGAGGTTGATTACTAGAGCTTTGCATGTCACCCCTGCTGAACAGCAAGGGCAAAGTCTTCAGGTAACTGAAGTGCCGGGAGTTGAGCAGGGCACCGACTACCCTAAGGGACACATGTGACAAGTGTCACTTGCGGTACTGCCACATTGCTGGGAGCAAGCTTAGGAAATGCCACCAAGCGTTCTCCCAAAGTTCAATTCCTTTATGAGATCTCCGAAAGGGTAGAAAACATTTTCTAACAGCATCTTCAGAGCAAAATCTGAAGTCAACTGATTAGAGAGGGAGATGACTTGGGGAGTGCCATGCTGTGATTTCAAGAGGACTACACTCTGATTTTGGGGACACACACTGGTACCCCCCTCTATCCCTGCTGGCAGAGGAATGTGCCAAACATCCACACCCCAGAGGAGACCACACTGGAGGGGACTGCCTGCCGGTCATGTTTCTTGCCAAAATATAGTGGAAGCAATATATTTTTTAAAAAATCCAAGTCTATTCCATTAAAAATGGATGAAATCAGACTGCAAAGATTAATGCATGTAGTTATTAAAGAATTAACAAATACACACTTGGTTCTTATTCACCAGTCCCCAGCCCTATGCTTATGGCCATCTCTGGGACTTCTCTTCCCGGGACAGCTCTCCAGAAGTCAGCATGGCAGGAGGTTTCTCGTTAGTTCTTACACACATGGCTCAATCCTCCACTGACGCAGAAGACAGGGGTCCCCAGGGGTTCACAGACATGGGGCTGACCATACAGAGCCCTGCTTCCACCTGGGATCACAGGAGCAGCCTCCAGGACTTGACTTCTCTTATACACATCTGGTTGTTCCCCAAATGGTCCCTGCAGCTGCCAGAGCAGATGGAGCAGGTTCAGGGAAAGCCACAAAACACTGACACCACTGGAAGAGCTGCCCTGCTTCCCAGTAATCACCACCAATACAAAGGTAGGTTGATGTGAAAGCTGGTGTGAAGACACGTAGCCACCAAGAGCTGCTGAAGGACATGCACTCAGGCAGACGTGACCCAATGGGACCAGCAAGAATTTTGCAAAAAATGCAACCATTTCCAATGCTGGCAGAGGACATCCATGGGCAATGATGACCATTACGCAGTCTGCCAGCCTGCCCTCTCCTTCCCTCTGGTGCCTTAAGTCACTTGTCGCCTTGCAAGCCAGGGAGAGCGGGGACACCCTCTGCCCAGCATCTCCATGCCTACAAGTGCTGGGACCATCTCAATTCTTCCCTCTATAATCTAAAGAATGGGTTTTAGGGGCTAATCCCCAGTCACTGTCTGTTCTCTTAACTCTTAACAATCCATTTTCTCTCCCACTTTGGGACTGGGCTGAGGCATGAAAACACTTCTTCTGTGAAAAAAAAAAAAAGAATATTTATTCATTTTGCACTCATTCTGCAGAGGGACTAAACATAAAATGCCACCAAAAAATGGCTGGAAGCTGAGGCAGAGCACAGGAGCAGGGCTGGTAGAGCTGAGTAAAGACAATACCGCAAGACCAGCTCTGCAGAGAGGATGAAAACTTATCATTTTACTTTACCACAACATTTTCTAACATACATTAAGTACAACACTTCAGCGAGCATTTCTCCTTACAGCAATGAAGGTTCGTATGAAGGGAGGGGTTTTTCCCTGTTTAAATCTCCTTTTAAATACCCTCTAATATACACCCTAGATCCTTTCAGCAGTCTAACTTTAAAGTTCAAGTACTTCATAAAACTAAAACTGCTACAAGCACATTAAAAGGGCTTTTCCCCCCACAGGGCAGCACTAACTGACAAGCAATAACTGCAGCCCGTGTCTATTATCCATCACTGCAATAACTGAACTACCACAAAAACTATATTAACTAATCACAACCAGTGGTGAAAGGAACAGGTAAAAGAAACTAAAACACTGCCAAAGGGATACAGAAAAATGGTTAAAAAAAAATCAGAAATTAATATTGTGATCGAAGAAACCTCTTTCCAGAGGGCAACATCTCTCAAGAGTTGTCTAAGCAGAAAGAAAAATCACTTTTTAAAAATGGTAGAAGGGACAGATCAAAATGACTAAGGGCCTAACACCGCAAAATGGTATATACAAGTAATCCTTACAGAGTGCCAGCAGTACAAATACACAATCCTGTTTTATTAATGTATTATTTGTATTTGGTTGTACAATAGGGCCCCAGGAGATCCTCTTATAAGCACTGAAAAACAAGAAATAAGAGCTTGAGCCCTGAGAATTTAATGATCTAAGCCATCAGGATATAAAACCAGACTGCAATGCTTTACGCCCCGCGTTTCCAGGAAAAGCAACCATTATTTCACTTCAGACAGCCGTCAGAATAACATTAGCAGAAAAGAACAAGTTAACACG